AGCTTTTTCTTCTCTGAAGGATCGCGGAAAACAACATTGAAATTCAGAGACAGGACCACGAGGCCGAGGTGGCAACTCTGAAAGAGGAGATAAAAAGGCTGAAAGAAGAACGAGTCATCCTGCAGAGAAAGTTAGAAGAGGGGGCGCAGGCGAACTCAGACCTGCAGGAGCAGGTCATCCAGCTCACCAAGCATGTCAAACTAATTCCCGAGCTACGCAGAGATCTGAACAACCTGCAAAATCAGAGAAATAACATGGAGAGAAAGATGAAGCAGCAGTCAGAACAAGCAAGAGGTGTATATAGAATTTTATGTAAAAAAAATAATCTCCTTTGTGTAAAGAAAAAGAAGTCGTTTGTTGATGAACCTTGAATGTTTTCTGCAGGTAAAGTGAGTGAGATCGCAAGGCAGCTTCTTGAAGGTGTTGTTGAAGAGGAAGTTCTTCTGGGGTAATCCAGATATTTTGAGCACTGTGTTTCCTCACTTCATCTCTATTAGTCATTTAATCTGACACATTGTTTCTCCAAAGGATGACTTCTGACGAATCAGAGAAGATTTATGAAGTTGAAGATTTGCTGTCAGCCTTTGAACGCCTACAAAAAGCCATCAGGTCTTCATTTTTCAACCATAGCAAACCACTTTCTTATTAACAGAAACGTGCAGCTTTCCTTCTGGGTGTCTGTACTTGAATTTGTTAAACGTCTCACATTTGTTGGCAGGATTCTAGAAAACCACCAGAGGGAGCAGAAGGAAAGCTATGAGACTCAAGTAGAGGGCTTGAAATTGAAAGTGGACCACCTTGAGAATGAGAACAGCAAGCTGCAAAACCTGTTCCAGGAGAAAAGCAATGTCAATGAAAACATTTGCCAAGAAGTGTCCAGACTCAGCAGTGAAAACTCAGTATGTCATTGCACGTATTATTCGATACGTCACGGGTTAAAGGGGCGAGCTTCAGAATGTAACTGTGACGTCTGCTTTAATTTCATTTGCAGGTGATCCCGGAGCTGAAGCTGCGGGTTTCAGAGCTGCAGAGACAGAAACAAGAGCTTGAAGGCCTTGTTGAGGAGCAGAAAAGAGAATTAACAGGTACACTCTTTTGTTCAGGAGTCTCGCAGTGAAGCAGATTACTGTTTTAACTTGCTCTTTTATTTTTATGTCATTCAACAGAAAAAAACAAAGAGATCTCTCACAATCTTCAAAAGAAGATTACAGAAGAGAGCTCACAACGGAGGTAAATTACTCAGCGGTAGTGATGTCTTTCTTGATTAAAGTAGTGATGGTCATATCTGGTTCATCCTGATTTTGGATGTTTTTTTTAGGTACTTTGAGGAAAAAGCTGAAGAGCTGGAGGGGGAGAAGAGAGAGCTTCAAGGCAGAGTAGAGGAGCTGGAAGAGGAGAATGATCACTTGAAGAGACAGCAGCTGATGGAGAATGAGGTCAAAAGCAAACTCAGAGAGGAGACTTCACGGTTAACTGCTGAGAACATGGTGCGTTGAGCGTACGAAGGGTAGAAGGTTACAGTGAGAGTAAACCAATAACTGATTCCACTTTTAATTCAGGACTTTGACGAGCTGCTCGACCAGAAAGACAGATTAATAAAGAAACTTCAGACTCAAGTTAAGAGCCTCGAAACGTCACAGAGAGGTAGCACTGGAGCTCCTGCGCCACATGTAAACAAAGAAATCGAGTCCATACAAGCTGTCTCAACTTTTTCATCACATTTATTGTTTCTCAAACAGCGAGGCAAAAAACTGCATCCACCCTTCCCAAAGATTACCTTGGCATGTTGGAGTACAAGAGAGAGGATGAACCAAGGCTCATTGAAAACATCATTCTGGGTATTCTTCCCCTGCACTATGTCTGCAATATGCCCATGTTACCTGCCTTTTATTTAATAATCATATAAGCTATTTGATCCATGGATTTGAGCAGGAGTGAGGGTATTAAAACTCGGATGAATGGATAAACCATATTCTCTGACAAATTTGTCCCAATTTCCTTGCAGATCTGAAACTCAAAGGCGTGGCGGTCAACATGATCCCGACCCTGCCAGCTTACATCCTCTTCATGTGCATCCGCCATGCGGACTACCTGAACGATGAGGCAAAACTAAAGTCCCTTATGAATGCAATCATTGGTGGAGTCAAGAAAGTCATCGTGGTAAGGTTAACTATTTTTGTAACCCTTGTTTAACCAGGAAGTAAAACTCTTGAGCTCAAGATTCTCGTTTGGGGTTTTGCACCCCAGATAGGTGGGGTTAAGCTAGCTGAGAAACAACTCCTAGCAGGAGGAGGTGGGGTAGACCCAGGACATGCTGCAGAGATTATATCTCTTGGCTGGCCTGGGAACACCTCTCTGTTCCCCTGGATATATATGGATAGACTGGTGAATGGATTGATGTATTTTGAGGTATTGTTTATATCTAATAATGTAAACAACATTTTCCTGTTTTAGAGTCATCAAAAAGATTTAGAGTTCCTGTCCTTCTGGCTCTCAAACACCCACCAGCTCCTCAACTGTCTGAAGCAGTACAGCGGGGAGGAAGTACAAATTTACTTTTTTTTAAAAAAAATCAGTAGTTACTGTTTCATTTCTGTCTGTTGATAATATCATATACATATTAAAATGCTCTTGTTTTCCATCCTGTTAACAAAAGGAGTTCCTGAAGCAAAGTACACCTCGCCAGAAAAAAAACTGCTTGCAGAATTTCGATTTGTCGGAACACAGACAGATTCTCAGCGATCTGGCCATCCAAATCTATCATCGGTTTATCTCAGTCATGCAAAAGACTCTTACTCCCACTATTGGTAATGTTTTTTCAAATGTAATATTTTGCCAAAAAAATCCTTTTATGAGTAAGCTAAACCCTACTTCTACACTTTCTTAGTACCCGGCATGCTGGAGCACGAGAGTCTACAGGGGATTTCTAGCATGAAGCCGACGGGCTTCAGGAAGCGTTCCAACAGCTTCTATGAGGAATCAGAGACCTACACCATCTCCTCCATCCTCCAGCATCTAACTGTCTTCCACTCCACCATGAACCACCATAGTCTGGACCAGGGCCTCATCAAACAAGTGATCAAACAGCTGTTCTACCTTGTGGCTGCGATCACTCTTAACAACATCATGCTCCGCAAGGACATGTGCTCCTGCAGGAAGGGGATGCAGATCAGGTCTGTGCTCGCAGATCAGGTATGTGCTTTGAACACAACTCAAAGAGAGTTTAGTTTAACAGCTGCTTTCTCTTTTCAGATGCAACATCAGTTATCTAGAAGAGTGGCTGAAAGAGAAGGAACTTCAAAACGTGAATGCTATGGATACTTTGAAGCCACTGGCTCAAACTGCGTGGTTACTGCAAGTCAACAAATCCACTGATGATGATGCCAAGGAGATCATTGAAAAATGCTCTGAACTCAGCCCCGTTCAGGTACTTCCATCTGTTGTTTAAAATGTGGTTTTGGTGGGTTCTTTTTTTTCATTTTTAAATCTCGCACTAAACTCCAACCTAACATTAAAATTTGTAGATTGTCAAAATTTTGAACTCGTACACGCCCATTGACGATTTTGAAAAAAGAGTGACATCATCGTTTGTCCGCAAAGTTCAGGTGAGCCCAGCTGTTCATTTTCAAATATAAAAACCCTCCTAGCCAAAATAAATACAGTTGACTAAGCTGTCAATATATTTCTCATTCCAGTCTTTGCTCCAAGACCACGAAGGCACCGCACAGCTGATGCTGGACGCAGATTATCGTTTCCAGGTCACGTTTCCATTCTGCACGTCCACACAGGCTCTGGAGCTGCTGCAGGTCCCGAACAGCCTTCATCTCGACTTCCTCAACAGGATCTGACACACAGATCCTTTGACATTTTTACTCCTTATACTGAGTCTTAGTCAGTCTGTTTAAAGTTGCACTAGATTGTAGATAGAAATATTTAAGCACTTTCATTAAAACCCTGTACAGCACATGTTTAAAACAAAGAACAACTGAATAACATTGCAACATTTTGACCAAACACGACATAGCAATGATATTTTATTCTTGTGTACTGTATATAATATGTGTGTGTGTGTGTGTGTGTGTGTACATTTTTATTTAAATTGCAATAACATGCTAAATAAATGAATAAAGGCATTATCTTGGATTAAAGCTATACCAATGCAAACCTATTTTATACTATCATATATGATAGTATATATACTCAGGTTAAAATACAGCAAGGCTAAAATATGAGTTAATTAAATGCTCACTGTGTATTTTTTTTATATGTGTGTCCTGTAGTTGAATCAGAGGATGTAAGATGTGAAAATGAAGTAATATGAATTAATAAAATAGCATGCCAAATCACCAACTCATAACAGCTCATTAAAAAAAATGAAGAAGAATAAAATTACTTTAACAAACAACATTACTTGTTTTCTCAGTAATTCTTTTTTGGTTAAAATGAAAACATCTTTGCTCCATTTCAGCATCTTAAAATGCCAGAAAGCCCTCTCTCCCTCTCCCTCTGCCACATTAATGCCTTTCAGGCAAACGAGCTTGTCCCTTCTCTTCATGTGGGCAGCGTGAAAAAAAATGCATTTATAAGCTGAGTGTAGTGTTGCTTAGGGGATGCATCCTGTGTGTGTGTGTGCGGCAGCATCACCGGGATGCAGGATCCTCCTCCCCTGGAAACTGGAGGAGCATCTTCGCCCTCTGACGTCATGACAGCAGCATCAGCTGTTAGCTCTGCTCTAAGCCTTTTCGCTGCCGATCGCTTCCTGCTCAAAGGAAATATATGAGATCCCCTCCAACCCCTGAAATGGCGACACAGGAGGTACCGCTGAACGAGACTCTGGCTCACCTCAAAACGGAGTCGGAGACGCTGAAGTCGAAGCTGGAGGAGGAAAGAGCGAAGCTGCACGATGTCGAGCGTGAGTGCTAAAAAAATGGAGAGGCCCTGATTCAATTCTGCGTTTACCCTGTGACGGGACGGATAACGGCGAGCGTCTCCTCATAGCCTCACGTTTCTCCGCCAGAAGTCAAAGATCGCCGGTGTTACCGGAGATGGGGGATTTGGCGGAGCAGATTATCGATCCGATCGGCGCCGATGTCACCGATTTGTCAAGAGACGGGGGCAGGCTGTTTTGTTTGCCTCCCCATTTCATAGCCTAATACTTTCATCCATGTTTCATCCATGGACTGTTTTCCTTTACTTTCTTTCTTTTTATTTATTGATTTATTTTTACTCATATTTTACTCATAATATCTGAACAATCTGACAATTAAAGCAAGAGTGTGAAATAAAAACGTGAAAATCAAGCACAGGTCATTTCTGATGCATATTTTATGTGATTCGGGCTATCTGAGACATGGCAGATTAAAAATAGATTAATTCAATATTCCTCCATTTAGATGGGCCTGCTGTAGTTTAATCCTGGCTGCTGCCACGAGTGTTAATGTGGGGACATGTTTAATGTATAATATACATGTGTGTTTGTGCAGTACATCAGGTGGCAGAGAAGGTGGAGGGGCTGGGCCAGTTTGTCATGAAGACCCGGAGGACCCTGAAGGGGCACGGGAATAAAGTTCTGTGCATGGACTGGTGCAAGGACAAGAGGAGGATCGTCAGCTCCTCACAGGTCACAAACCCCTAGTCTCGTTTCCAGCTGACTGCAGAGCAAGTTTGTTGTTGGTGGCATGTGTTTTAAAAGTGTACAAACCTTTATTATCTTTTGATGCAGGATGGAAAAGTTATCGTGTGGGACGCTTTCACCACCAACAAGGTAACTTTTACTTTTCATGGGTCATCATGACGTATTCTTAGATATTTGTATTTTTTGCTTTTGAATTGATAACAATAAAAATAATATAAATTTCCATGATGGTAATAAGTTTGCTTTAGATAGAATTTTTTTTTTAGATCAGATAGGAGTGACACATAGGATTTGTGCATCAATATATCTATTGTGTGCTGATGGTAAATCCAACTGTCCTGTTTTTATGAACGAGACATCAGAGTTAGATGATAAAAACTGAAATTGTGTAAAAGTGTTTTCTAAAGTTTTCTACATGGGACAAACCAAAGCTAGTTGTTCTGCTTTGATTATGGATAATGAATTCTCCCTGTGCGGCTCGAGCACAAAAGCCTTGTCTTCTGATGTTTATAGGAACATGCTGTGACAATGCCTTGCACCTGGGTGATGGCCTGTGCCTATGCCCCCTCTGGCTGCGCTGTAGCTTGTGGGTGAGTGCGTTACTCTCTATAATGATCCAGATCTGGTTGTATTTTGCTGTATTTTTTGTTGCTTTTCTGTATTTTGTTTTTGTGGTAAAGTGTGTAGCTTCTCTGTTGCAGAGGCCTGGACAATAAATGCTCAGTTTATCCTCTGTCTTTGGACAAGAATGAGAACTTAGCTGCAAAGAAGAAGTCAGTGGCCATGCACACAAACTACCTGTCTGCTTGTAGCTTCACCAACTCGGATATGCAGGTGAGAAAACTGTCACCACACTCTAAAAACATCCACAAACCACTGAGGATCATGGGTAAAATGCCTGTGGAAACAGTAGCTGCAAGCTACCTTTTTATTTTTCTCTCAATCAGATATCACTTCCTTCTATATTCCAGTGAGAGCTCCAATACTTTGTTAATAATTTACAAGTTTGACTTCCTGGTCACATGAGGCGTCACACTGCAAAGGCAGTCCATTTACAACTACATGATAGCCTGTAACGACTTCTTTTTTTTTTTTCTCTTGCCGCATGCATTCAAGATCCTGACGTCCAGCGGGGATGGAACATGTGCATTATGGGATGTTGAGAGTGGGCAGCTGTTACAGAGTTTCCATGGACACGCTGCAGACGTGTTGTGTCTGGATCTGGCCCCATCTGAAACCGGAAACACGTTTGTTTCAGGGGTGAGGACACTTTCTGCACAGCTTTCGGTACAGCTTACTTAAAGAGGCTAAACACTGAAATTTTTGACACTTTCTGCTTTGCTTTCATTGGCAGGGCTGTGATAAGAAGGCCAATGTCTGGGATATGCGTTCAGGACAGTGTATTCAGTCCTTTGAAACTCACGAGTCAGACATAAATAGCGTACGGTAAGTCACCCCCTTGTAATGGCTCCTGAATATAAGTGTAGAGAAGGTAAGTGTAAAGATGAGTGCATTTTCTATTTATAATTACGCATTAAAAGGAAGTGTTTTAAAGGCCTCATCATGTGTGCATTATCATAACATATTTTATGTTATTGTAATGGCCTCTATATTTTTGTTTGCAAACAAAAATGTTAAAATCTGGAGTCTCATTTTCTTATGCTACCACTAGGAGTTGCTATAAGTCAGAAGTATTCAAATCTTACATGTAAGAGCTTTAAAAATTGATTTCTTATTACTGCTGTCTGTATTTTAACAGATACTATCCCAGCGGAGACGCTTTTGCATCTGGATCGGATGACGCTACAGTAAGAATTGATTTCTTCATGTTACCTTTGACTGGTGAAGCCAGTTTTCATGTGCAGCGTGCTGCACATAATTAATCATAATTACACTGCACCATAAAAAACAGAAAAAAATGAAAACACTCCCCTTTGTTACAGTGCCGCCTGTATGACCTAAGGGCAGACAGGGAAGTGGCTATCTATTCCAAAGACAGCATCATATTTGGCGTCTCCAGTGTTGATTTCTCGCTCAGTGGTACGATATATAGAATATTTACCTTCGCCGTTGTTTGTACTGAGCTTAAGGATAATGCCGTTAAAACATTTTGGGTGTGCCCTCTCTTTCCCCAGGCCGGCTACTGTTTGGTGGCTACAACGACTACACCATTAATGTTTGGGATGTTCTCAAAGGAACACGGGTCTCTATTCTGTTTGGACACGAGAACCGTGTCAGCACCCTGCGGGTTTCCCCTGATGGGACAGCCTTCTGCACAGGTTCCTGGGACCACACTCTTCGGGTATGATATCTGATCTGGCACATGTGATTACTCCAGGTTTCTGTCTGGTTATATCTTGTAATGTCTATTTTCTTTGCCTTCCAGATCTGGGCCTAAGCATCAAGACAAAAACGATTAAATAGTAGACAGACCTACTGAAGACACACTGATGTTTCTGTTTGCTAGAGTACAATCACAGAGATAGAGACTCAGTTTTGATTGTACATAGGGCACATCAATAGCATTGTATATACTCCAGTGTTTTGGCCAGGGTAGATTTACATATTTTAAAGAGTAATAAACCAAATGGCTAGCTCGCATTACAATGTGATGGGAAGAAAAGGTGCACAGAAGTTCTTATGATTACAACTATGAAGTTTAAAACAAGTATATTACTGAAAATATTATTGGTAGTGGCTTGCATCAGTCTAGGATAGAAGTGACACAATAATGTGATATGTTAATTAGCCCACATGGAGGAAAATACATGTTTACTTATTGTTATTATTTTTTATTAAACAAATGAGGACATTCATTCAGAGGAGACATCAAAGAGCAGGGGGGCTTTTCTGTGAATGGCAAAAGTAATGAGAAATAATAATGAGATTTATGGAGAAAGGTACAAATTAATATTTTATTTTGGAAATTATATTAAATGTACATCTAACAAACAACGTGTGCACCCAACAGCTGCTTCTCACCTGCCAATATAATACTGTATCAATATCAATGCAAAGAAAGCACATTAATAGGTAAACATGAGATGAATGATTTTTTTTTCATACCTGTAATTTAAAATATGGTTTACTACATCTTTTTTGCGTTTCCAGATGTGGAAGCCACTCACTACTCGATGTGCACTAGAGACACCCTGAACTTGTGCTACCCCACTGTTGAAATACTAATACGTTAAAAAAAATTAATTAAAAAATATATATACATATAATTGAATGTACTCCTTTTCATGCAGTTGTCCAATGGTTGTAATTTCATATTTAGAGTAATTATTGTAGTTTAGTGTACAGATATGCAGGGGACTGTTAATCAAACTATTACAAACATAATAAAATCAGTTTTGAATATCGCTCCTACGTGTCTCTTTATTATTATTATTATTATTTCAGCAGAGTGAGGGCCCACTGTTACTGTTGAGGGTTTCCAATAAAGTTTCAAATCAAGCGGAAGTGACATCATCAAAAAGCCTTGCCGATTCAAAACAATGGCCGACAGAAGAGCCAGTGTTGTAACTCTTGTAGTCGTTTTAAATGTTTAACTAGTAACATTTAATGTGTGTATGTAAGAGACTCTTATTGTGATGTTTAGCGATTTAATAAGTGTGTTTTATAAGAGAGAAGCCAGCTGCTTAGCCCGCTTTTAGCTGCCAAAATGAGCGATGTTGTGGAGAAGACGCTGACAGCTCTGCCGAGCCTCCTCTCTTTAGACTCTCACCCTGGGTCTGCAAAACTGTCCTCTACTTCAAAGCTAGGAAACCTCATCAGAGGAATCACTGAGCTAACGTCTAAACATGTGAGTTTGCCCTTTGAAATGAACTAAAAACAAGATAAGTTGACGATACCGTCTAAGGTTGCTAAGCTAAGCTGCCTGTGCTAACTCATTATAGGCATGTCTTTACGTTTAACCTACTTACTGGAGGCCTTACATTACTGTACTAAGTTAGAGGCTGGTTTACAGGCGTTGTGTTGTTTTTGCCATGTTAATATCATGTGGCAGAACAAATTATAGCAGTGCTACTTCACGCATTTATCCTCACTGGTGCGTTCATGTTCATTTTCGTAAACTCAGACAAATTGGAGAAGTTCGTCTTCTGGGATTTCCGAGGTTTTGGTAAATGTTTTTTGGACAGGATCCTGGTATTTATCACGTCTAGTCTCTGTGGCAGAAACAAGTAGGACAAGTAGTCAGGACAAGTAGTCAGCAGTATTCACTCACTTGCTACTTTATAAGGTACACCTGTTCAACTGCTTTTTAACACAAATCTCTAATTTCGTTGCAGCAGTTCCATGCATTTAGACATGCGAACCCGCTGAAGTTCAAACTTGACCATCCGTGATTTAGGTGATCATGGCATGGTTCTTAGTGTCAGACAGGCTGGTCTGAGTATTTCAGTCTGTCAGATTGCTCCTCTGCTTGGATTTTCTCTAGAGTTTATAGAGAACATTGCCCAAAAAAGAGAAAACACAGAAGAGCAAGCCTGAATGTTTAAATTCTGAATGCACAACACACTTAACTGTGAAGCAGTGTGCTATAGCTGCAGAAGACCATAGCAGGTGCCACTCCTGTCAGCTAAGAACAGGAAACTGACTGGAGGAACTGATTAATAAAAGGGGAAAAAAAGAACAGGAAACTGAGGCTACAATTTGGATGGCCTCACCAAATATTGGACAATAAAAGATTAGAAAAATATTGCCTGGTTTCACATTTTCTATTGGAACATTTGGATGGTTGGGTCTGAACTTGGCATAAACATCTTGGATCCATCCTACTTTGGGTCAGTGGTTCAGGCTGCTGCTGCTGGTGTAATGGTGTGAGAGATATTTTCTTGGCACATGTTGGGCACCCCAGTGCAAACTGAGCATCAATTAAACTCCATAACCTGAATAACACGCCATGTCACAAAACTCAAATCATCTCAAACCGGTTTCTTGAACATGACAATGAGTCACTGTACTCAAATGACCTCCACAGTCAACAGATGTTAGTCCAAAAGAACACCTTTGGTATTTGTAGGATGGGAGTTTCACATCATGAATTAAGAGAGTGACTAGTCACTAGTATGAGCTAGGTGTAACTAATAAAGTGGCCAGTTTGTATAAACCTTGTATTGTTAAACCTGCATACCTGAAATTCTTACTGCATTTCTTTGGTGTTAAATGGTGTGTCTGTATATTCCAGTTACCTTTTGGCAAGCAAAAGCTTGCTGGTTCATTTCCGAGCACAGATACAAATCCCCTTTGAGGTTGTTTCAGGAAGAGTATCCACCGTAAAACCTCTGCCAAATTAAGCATGCAAAACTACTTGCTGTGGAGACTCCTTATGAAAAGGGAGCAGCCAAAATTAACTTTTCACACCATCTTGGAAATTCCAAGCAAACATTTCCCCATTTTTCTGAATTAAGAAGATATCTTAATATCCCAAAAGAGTTTCCGTCCTACTTGAAGGGTTGATTACATGAGTAACAATGACCACCACCCCATTATTGCATATCTTCAAGTCCTATCAATTCATTTGACTGTGAAGAAATATTCAGAAGACTCTTAAGTCTCTAACAGTACAGTGCCATCTGTTTCGCCCACTGATGCCAGTATTTCCCCTTGTTTCAAAGTGAATTACTCATAAAATCAAGCTTTTGAGAAAATAGAGCTTCTTAGGATTTTAGTAGGAAATTAGTAGGAAAATTCTAGCAGAAGTGCTGCCACGTGTCTGGCAGGAAAGAGAGTACCAATTTGTTTATTTGCAAAAAAAAAAACCCCGCACTACATTTTTGGAAATATTTGTGGGTGTTTTGTATTTTTTGTGGGGGATTTTGTACTACATGAACACTGAAGTGGCCCCCAGTGAGATGACAGTGCCAACAGTGGCCCACGCTCATTTAAGTTTAGACCCCTGCTCTACAAGGTATCGCCAAGGCCGAAAACATTATGACATAATTCAAATAATTCTCATGTTCAGTAGGAATACTCTATAGGAATAAACCTTGACGTCTCACAGTCTGAAATACATTTAAACTTGTGTTTCTTTGCATCACTGGCTCGCTGTAAACTTCTCATTACCTTGAAATAAGCATGACTCGGTAAACCACCAATGTATTTCATCTTACTTCCCATTGTCTCCTGTTCTATAGGAGGAAGAAAAACTTATTCAGCATGAGCTTTTGGCGATCAAAGAACAAGTGTCCTCTCCCAACACCACCATGGTAAATCTTTCCTGGTTTTTCTCTGCTGTCTTGCACAAGAAATCATATACATTAAAATTCCACCGAGACACGAAGTTACCAATGTGTTTACTTTTTCCTTTTGTCATAATCTGATTCAGAGGCAGATGAAGGAGCTCATGGTGCGATCGATCTACTGTGAAATGTTGGGCTACGAGGCTTCCTTCAGCTATATTCATGCCATTAAACTGGCTCAGCAAGGCACTGTTCTGGAAAAGAGAGTCGGTAGGTTTAATAAATAACTCATTCCTCAGAGTCTCGTGTGTCAGGGCCCATTTGTTCTTATGATCTACACACAAGGCCAGGAGGAGCAGCTGATGATGAGGCAGGTTGCATAAACCTGTTAGGACAACGAGGAGAATATTGCATGGAACAATAAAAGCTTCGTCCTTTGTGGCAAATTCTGACATATGTCTAGTTTTATAACTCATGTTTGATTACTTGGGAAGAAGAGAAGGGTGTTGATGAGATGGAGAGAGTCAGCTGAACAGAATGTACTGATAGGAGGTGTGCTCCAGCTGGTTGTTGAAAGCTGCTGATCTTCCTCTAAATCCTTGGCACACAGAACGACATGTAAAAGAATACCACGAAGGAATAAAAAACCCCACCGCACCTGGTCTCATGAATCATTTTACATTTATGTTCCAGTGCGAGTCCTTACGTGGCCTTACTCCCTCCTCTTTTCTTAATTTAAAGGATAATACTGTCATTTTTGAGGATTTAACAATAAAGATTTATACAACAAAAAGACACAAGGTGGTACTTTAAAAGCTTCAGAGTGTTGAGAGTGTTGCAGAATATGGATTTATTTACAGCATCAGTGTTAAATATGAAAAAGCTAGACTGCTTTGGTCACAAATATGTTTATTTGTGGTTTTTCAGGTTACCTCGCTGTGTCCTTATTTCTGAATGAAAGTCACGAGCTTCTGCTCCTCCTGGTAAACACTGTGTTAAAGGTGGGCGTGGGCTTACACAACATTCATCATACGATGCCCAAAAGGGAATTTAGGATATTTGATTGTCGTGTTTTGTGTTCACAGGATCTTCAGAGTACAAATCTTATTGAAGTGTGCATGGCTCTGACTGTTGTCAGCCAGATGTTCCCCAAAGATATGATCCCTGCAATCCTTCCTCTAGTGGAGGAAAAACTAAATCACCCAAAGTAATGAACGCTGCTCATCACCTGCATGCATGGTTGAATATTTCTTTGTGCCGTTGAGCTTGAATATTTTTATTAATACGTTTTTGTCGGAACAAACTTTCAGAGAAATCATTAGAAGGAAAGCAGTCCTGGCGCTGTACAAGTTCTACCTAATAGCACCAAATCAAGTTCAGCACATCCACAACAAGTTTCGCAAAGCTCTTTGTGACAAAGATCCTGGTGTGATGACAGCCTCACTACACATCTACCTGCAGATGATCCAGGTAGTTACTGGTTTCCTCATAATTTGCAGTACTCTGTTGAAATGTACATATGTATGTATTTATTTATTTTTTTGCTTTAATACAGGAGAACCCAGAAGCTTACAAGGACCTGACGCCAAGTTTTGTCACCATATTGAAGCAGGTGGTGGGAGGAAAGCTGCCCATGGATTTTAATTATCACACTGTTCCTGCTCCATGGCTTCAAATTCAGCTGCTCAGAATACTCTCCTTACTTGGAAAAAATGATCAGAGGTAGATATTATTTGTCCCATCTTCACATCTCACTAAAATCACCCGATTCTTCACTGATTTTGTGCATGTTCTCTCTCTTCATAGTACAAGTGAGGTCATGTATGAAGTCCTTGATGAGTCTTTACAAAGAGCAGAGATGAACCATAACATCACTTATGGTATGCAGCATTTCTAATCAGTATGCTTTTTGTAACCATTTAAGTTCTTCTGTCAGCCACTTATATACGTTTCTCTTTATTTCCAGCTATTTTATACGAGTGTGTAAAATGTATTTACACAATTCATCCAAAGTCCCACCTTTTGGAAAAAGCTGCAAAGTGCATTGGAAACTTTGTTTTGTCCCCCAAGATAAATCTAAAATATCTAGGTAAGAGACAAAGAGAAACACGACTGTACATAAATAATGTCTCTTTGTTGAAAATCTAACAAAAACACTTTCTCTATGATACTGCAGGCCTGAAGGCCCTCACCTACGTTGTCCAGCAGGATCCTAAACTGGCCTTGCAGCATCAGATGACCATCATAGAGTGTCTTGATCACCCTGACCTCATTATTAAGCGTGAGGTGAGGCTCACAGTGATGTAGTCTGAACGTGTGAGGTTGTAAGGTTGCAGGTTTTTAGCATTACCAGGCTTCTTTTTTTTTGTCTTGTAGACGCTGGAGTTGCTCTTTCGCATCACTAATGGCCAGAATGTTACAGTCATTGTTGAGAAGATGCTGGAGTTTCTGTGTATCAGTGAAGATGATCACACTACCATTGACCTGGTGGGGAAGGTGGCAGAACTGGCGGAAAAATATCCTTTAAAGTGTAATCGTCTTAAATATCAATTCATTATCACTCCTGAGGCCCTCTGGAGCTGTATAATGCTGTGGCTAAGAAATCACAGTCATAGAAACTCATATTCAAAGTAACTCTTTTTAAACTTATGTTGTTGTGCTGAGTCACAACAGGCTGTCACTTCAGCTTTTCTGGTTTGATTTCACATAAATCAAACTTTAAAAAGTAAAGAAGAGATGGGAGAACGACCTTTTAGTCACAAGTAGTATTTGGTCACCTTCCTTCACGGGCATATGAGCTTCAGTGACTTCCCATGTTTAATCCATAGGAAATAATGTGATGTCAGTTCACCCTTTGCAGTTGTAACAACTTGTTTATGGGAATTTTTAACCACTCTTCCAGAATTGCGTTTGTGAAGTCAGACATTGACAAAGAGGCCTGGCTCACAGTCTCCCCTCCAATTCGTCCTAAAGGCGTTCTGTTGGATTGTAGTCAGCACTCTGTGCAGGCCAGTCACGTTCTTCCAGTCATCCATGTCTTTATGGACCTTACTTTGTGCACTGGTATGCAGTCATGTTGGAAGGAGTTGCCATGGCCAAATTGTTCACAGAAGGTTGGGAGAGTCAAATTGTCTAAAATGTCCTGGTATGCTAAAGCATGAGACTGTAGTTCAGGTGGTAGAGCACTAATTGGTGGTGGTTTGATCCCCCGTCTGCTCCAGTCCGCATGCCAACTATGATAACAATGTATTATAATTAATGAATCTGTAAGTATGAGTGTGTGTGAATGTTAGAGAGAAAGAGAGCTTGTGTGAATGGGTGAATGAGGCAAGTTGTGTAAAGCATGTTGAATGCACACTTAGAGTTGAAAAAAAAAAAAAAAAAAGAACCATTTACTTTCACTGGAACTATGGGCCCATGATCCAACCGTTAAACCCAGACTCCTCCATCAGGTCGTAGTGATTGAGCCTGCAGAAAGTCGGTGACCTCTGTGCACTATGTGCCTCAGCATCCGCTGACCCTGCTTTGTGGATTTTACGAGGTGTACAACTTTGTGGCTGAATTTCTCATGATCCCAATCACTTCCCTTTGTGATAAAACCTCTAACAATTCACTGTAGAATATTTAGTAGCTAGGACATTTCACAAATGGACATGTGGTGGGGACTCAGTGTTCTTCACCCACAGTGAATGCATGATGAAACTGCACAAAAAAGGTTTTGAAAAATCCTGATGTAAATTTATACTTCCTAGCAATAATATGATGAATTTAGAGAAAACATTAACATTCAAGTTTCTTTTTATTGGAAACCCTTGATACTTTTTTGAGTTAATATTGCGCTAAAACATCATAACTATCAACAATTGGAGGTTGAGATCACGTGACAGAACGTAAACAGAAATTAACAAAATATTTTTAAATATAATGTTATTTATGATGCTAAGTTAGTACAAATTCACTGCAATTTTCTCCTTGATAGATTTTCAACCTGTCTGGGGTTTACCTCAACCTGTTGCCCAAAGTGTGTCTTTTATACTTTGTTTGTTAAATTTCTTGTATTTTCCTATAAACCACTGTACATATGCACCAGATAACGAATGGTTCATAGAAACGATGAACACTGTGTTTTCTCTTGGTGGAGACATGATGCAGCCTGACATCCCTAACAGTTTTCTCAAACTGCTGTCTGAGGGTGAGAAACCCACACGTTCAAATGATTCTGCTGTGATTTTCTTGCTCACTGATATGATGCTGATTGATTGAAATTTTAATTGTGAGCGATGGATGATGAATTTCTCTCTAAATACGCAGGCTTTGACAGTGTGGAGGAAGACAGGAAGTTGAGGCTGTTTGCTGTGAATTCGTACATTCCTCTGCTGCGGGGAGAGCCTGGCAAACTGCCACAGCGCTTCCTCCAAGTCATCAGCTGGGTGAGTGATGCTCTCACGATGTGGATCATTAATAGACTTTTATATTATTATTATGTAATAAGAGCGAGAAGCAAAAGAACAGTACATGCAGTTACTGCTCGGTTTACGTCATACAGTTAAATATTAAAGTGCTTGAAATACAAAATTCTTTTACAAACCAGATTCCAAAAAAAGTTGGGACACTAAACAAATTGTGAATAAAAACTGAATGCAACGATGTGGAGATGGCAAATGTCAGTATTTTATTCAGAATAGAACATAAATCACAGAACAAATGTTGAAACTGAGAAAATTTATCATTTTAAGGGAAAAATATGGTGATTCAAAATGTCATGGTGTCAACAAATCCCAAAAAAGTTGGGACAAGGCCATTTTCACCACTGTGTGGCATCTCCCCTTCTTCTTACAACACTCAACAGACGTCTGGGGACTGAGGAGACCAGTTTCTCAAGTTTAGAAATAGGAATGCTCTCCAATTCTTGTCTAATACAGGCCTCTAACTGTTCAATCGTCTTGGGCCTTCTTTGTCGCACCTTCCTCTTTATGATGCGCCAAATATTCTCTATAGGTGAAAGATCTGGACTGCAGACGTGCCATTTCAGTACCTGGATCTTTCTCCTACGCAGCCATGATGTTGTGATTGATGCAGAATGTGGTCTGGCATTATCTTGTTGAAAAATGCAGGGTCTTCCCTGAAAGAGATGACGTCTGGATGGGAGCATATGTTGTTCTAGAACCTGCATTGATGGTGCCTTTCCAGACATGCAAGGTGCCCATGCCACACGTACTCATGCAACCCCATACCATCAGAGATGCAGGCTTCTGAACTGAGCATTGATAACAACTTGGGTTGTCCTTGTCCTCTGGTCCGGATGACATGGCGTCCCACATTTCCAAAAAGAACTTCGAATCGTGACTCATCTGACCACAGAACAGTCTTCCATTTTGCCACACTCCATTTTAAATGATCCCTGGCCCAGTGAAAACGCCTGAGCTTGTGGATCTTGCTTAGAAATGGCTTCTTCTTTGCACTGTAGCATTTCATCTGGCAACGGCGGATGGCACGGTGGATTGTGTTCACTGACAATGGTTTCTGGAAGTATTCCTGAGCCCATTCTGTGATTTCCTTTACAGTAGCATTCCTGTTTGTAGTGCAGTGTCGTTTAAGGGCCCGGAGATCACGGGGATCCAGTATGGGTTTATGCCCTTGACCCTTACGCACAGAGATTGTTCCAGATTCTCTGAATCTTCAGATGATGTTATGCACAGTTGATGATGATGATGATAACTGCAAAGTCTTTGCAATTTTTCGCTGGGTAACACCTTTCTGATATTGCTCCACTATCTTTCTGCACAACATTGTGGGAATTGGTGATCCTCTACCCATCTTGGCTTCTGAGAGACACTGCCACTCTGAGAAGCTCTTTTTATACCCAATCATGTTGTCAATTAACCTAATCAGTGTTAATTGGTCTTCCAGCTCTTCGTTATGCTCAAATTTACTTTTTACTTATTGCTACTTGTCCCAACTTTTTTGGGATTTGTTGACACAGTGTAATTTTGAATCAACATATTTTTCCTTTGAAATGATACATTTTCTCAGATTAAACTTTTCATCTGTCATCTACGTTCTATTCTGAATAAAATATTGACATTTGCCATCTCCACATCATTGCATTCAGTTTTTATTCACAATTTGTTTAGTGTCCCAACTTTTTTGCGATCCGGTTTGTAAATTAATGTTCCGAAAAATAACTGGAGGAAAAGTAAAATCAGTGCTGTGAAAAAATATGAATGTACAAATTCTGCACAGGTTTCAGGATCCAGAAGCTGAATGCTTAGTCATATCTGAGTCTGGTCGAGAACATGTTAGTCAGCTCACAGGAACTGAAGCCTGTGACAAAAAAAAACAAAACAACACAGCCAGGTTAATATGTGTTAGCTTGAAATATAGAGGCAGTAACCAACAAGAACAAGTGCAGATGTGTTTGCTTTTTCCTGACCCAAGAGTCGGGAAACCCAAAGAGATCAGCTAATAAAGGAGCACAAATGTTGCCTCACATTAAAGTGGATTATGTGGTAACTTTGATCTTTTGACTACTGAATTTATAAAGAATTACATTTTTAAAAGGACTCAAAATAACCAAACTAGTTGAACCGCAACACTAAACCAGCCTCCAGTGTATTAAACAGGTGGCCTAGACATCCACTATTATTCCTCTCTCCTGATCACACCACACCTGTAAAAAGGGGTAGCAGTTTCCCTTCCTTAAGAATGGCTTAATAACTACCCTTCCACTGTGACTGTAGCGGCGGCACTCCATCTCTATTTCACTCTTCTGTACCACCTTTAGGAGTCAGTCCAGCAACATGCATTTGAACGCGAACAAATCCAGGTACCTTTTCTTGCAAAAAATATGTTTATTGAAACTTAAGATACATGGCAAGACTCTGTCAAAAAACTGTGTTGCTTCCAGCTTATCCGACTCCCCAACTACGTAATTACAGTGCGCCGGAAGCCCAAAATACTAAAAAGCGCATTAGAATGTCGCACTTCTATATTCTATACATTTAACAAACAGTATTTTGAAATCAACTAGAAATTATATTCTTAACATCAAACATGTATATTTCTCCTCTAATCATTTTATCAGTACCAATAAAATTAACCTTTAATTGGCTCTTACATCACCCGGCTCCTAATTGGTTAGGTGAGAGAACTAAACAATTACTAACTTACACATTAATCATTAAGAGCCAACCTAATTGTAATGTCCATGAACAAACATTCTTTCTCTTCATCGCTCGGATGAAGCCTCCTCCAGAAGACACAACTTGTTAATGGGTCTTTCCAGGATGTTGCTTTTAGTTTTTACTTTCAATCTTCGGACTGTTCCACTTGAGTCTGGCAACGTCTCAACCACTCTCCCTATGAGCCAGGAGTTGCGTGGAGAAGAACTGCCCACCAGCAGCACAAGATCTCCGACCGTGAAGTTTCTTCTCGGTTTCAGCCACTTCTGGCGCTCTTGCAGAAGTGGAAGATATTCACGAGTCCATCTGGTCCAAAACAAATCTGCTAGATATTGAACCTGTCTCCATCTTCTTCTGGTGTATGCATCATTTTTGTTGAAGACACCTGGAGGCATGAGGGGCTGTGACTTAAGCAGCAACAGATGGCTCGGCGTTAAAGCTTCAACATCATTTATGTCTTCTGAGACGCTTGTGAGAGGTCTGCCATTAATGATGCTTTCAATCTCACACATTATTGTATGAAGACAATCTTCATTTGGCACTTGTTCCTTCAAGAGAGCGCTGAGAATTCGACGCACTGTTCGAATTTGTCTCTCCCAAACTCCACCTTGATGTGAAGCAGCCGGGCTGTTAAAAATCCACTTTATACCTTTTGGTTGTAGGACTCTTTCTATTTTGTCGTTATCCAGTCTTTGAATGGCTTCCCTCAACTCCCTTTCCACTGCCACAAAGTTTGTGCCATTATCTGACCTCATGATGGTAACTTGACCTCTTCTGCAGATGAAACGTCGAATCGCGTTGATACAGGAGTCTGTGTCAAGACTGTCTGCAACTTCAATATGCACAGCTCTGAGAGTTAGGCAGGTAAACATGACACCATATCTTTTGACAGTACCCCGGCCCCGCTTGACATCAAATGGGCCAAAGTAGTCGACACCAGTGTTTGTAAACGGAGGTTTGTCTGGTAGAAGACTGTCTTCAGGTACAGTGGGGCAA